GGACATAGGCCTTCGAGAACGTCGACGAAGACATAGGACGGTAGGCGACGAAGACGACGAGTTCAAATACGATTGCGGCTTCGAATGCGAAGACCGTGTTCATGTAGTCGCGGAATGTCCGTTGTACAAGAAGGAGAGGGAAGTGTACGTGACTGAGCTGGGAAAAATAGATGGAACGTACAGGGAGATGTTTGAGGCATGGAATAGAGAGAAAAGGACGGTAGCTGTACTGGGGCATAGGATGTGGGTCGAAAAGGCGGGAAGAGATATCGTTAGGATAGACAGACTAGGGAAGACATTTTTGAGCCACCTTTGGCAAAGTAGAAAGGAACGATTGGCCATCGGCGATCGGTCTTGTGGGAACAATTCTCCGTATTCTCGATAGGACGCGTAGTCAATGGTCTAACCGCTAAGGCATGCAAAACACGAGTACCCCCCCCCCCCCCCCCCAGGGCACCCTTCATGCCACTCGCCGAATACCTCACGGCGCTTCGCGCTTGGTGNCTCGCGCAGAGCTTGAATCTCCGCCGCCGCCGCCGTCGCTGCCGCTTCTTGCTTCTCCAATCGCTTGCAGGCACCAGCTGCTCCTCCTTTACCCCTCACTCCAACTCCTCCACCGCCGCCAGGCGCTCCGCCCTCTTGCACGATGCTCTGTTGTCAGGCGAGGGTGGGGTAGAGGGAGCGGCAAATACAACGACAAGGCCCCACACTTTAACGCCCGCACTACTTTGCTCATAGTCAAGCCCGGTTACAATAAGAACGTGGACGCTGGGGGGGGGGGGGGTTCAAAGTGTAGGTGCATTTCAGAGTGACGTTCGAGAAGACGGAGCGGCGATCGACGATCGTCGCTATCGTTTCCTCCCCGAGATATGTCATCACCACCATCATATTGTTTTTCGTTGCGCGGAAAATTCTAGGGCGAACGTTCATCATCAGATGCCGGTCTGGGTATCTGTTGAACAAAAAATAAAAATCCAAACCACACGTGTCCCACGTCAAATACAAACCTACCTAAAGATCGCACTGCGATAACGAAAAACAATGCCCCAAGCACATGATCCAACAGCACCAACCTGGTACTTCCTGAGGAGCTGCATGCTCTGCCCGAACTTGACCTTGAGGCCGGCCATCTCCTTCACGATCGACTCGTTCTGCGCCCGCAGCCGTTCGAAGCGGGTCTTCTGGCCCTCCTTCTCTTGCCTGAGCTTCACGAGATCCTGCATCAGGCGAGCCACCTTGGTCTTGTCTTCCTGGCATAGCTCCGCCAGCCTCGCGCCGCCGTCGATGGCGACACCTCCCGCCGCCGCCGCCACCTCCGGCACTTGCCTGCCCACGGCCGTAGCCATGCTCTCATCGCGGCACTCCTCTCCGGTGGTGCTTCGCCTGATGGCGGCACCGACGTGGCCTGTATCCCCCGAGAATCTCACTCGAACGGCAGCATCGGTAATGGATTCGACTCCCGCGGACTTGACGTTCCTCGTCACTATTCCTGTTGGTGCCGCCCGAGCGGTAGGGTCGGGCGTCATGCCCCCCGAAGCCGCGGACGCGGACAACGCCACGGCCGCCGCCTGCTTGGCCTTGCCAGCCAGCCGCGCGAGCAACGCCTCCGCATCGCCGTCTTTGGCAACTCCGCCGCTGCCCCCGCCGCTGCCTTTACCGTCGCCGTCGGATGGCCGTGCCCGCTCTCCCCAAAAGGAGGGCTCACTGTCCTGGTTCTGCCCTCCTCTAGATACAGGCAGCGCGCGTGGTGCTTCCGGTTGCGGTATCGACTGCGGACCGGCGGCGGCAGTAGCAAGGGCGGCGGGGGCTCTTGCGGGAGTGTCGGCGTCAACCGTGCCGAACGGGGTGAGCCCCGCCGGGGACGTATTTCTCTCCTTCCCGTCATAGTCGACGGTGCCGTTACTGCCGCTGCTGTCGGCAGCGTAGCGTTCGCCGCGGGTGCTGTCCGAGCCGGCGAAAACCGCGGCAGCTGCTACCACGGGTTTGGATGCCCGCGGTTCTTCCCGCGGAAGGGGCGGCGAACGCGGAAAGCCTCCTCCCGCCGCCACGAAGGAGTCGTCGATACCGAGACCGGTAAGGACATTTGGGGTAGGGGGTGGTTGCAGTTGGTGTTGTGAGGAGGGAAGCTTGGGCCGGAGGGAGGGGGTCGCGAGCGATACGCGCTCGGTTTTCGTGCTGATGCTGGTGGCGGCGGGTTCTAGGGTTTCCCACTTGGCGAAGGCGTTGCTGGCCGCCGCTGAGTTCATGCGGGTGGTTGCACCTGTTGAATCGTTCGGAATGGATTATTCTTGAGTGGGGAAACAACCGATGCAGCAGTACGGTTTGCAGATTGTGTGAGATGGGCAGGGTGAGAGGCCGGCTCAGTCGGCGCACTCCAGGCAGAGATGTGGAACGAGTGTCTAACAAGCACTTGGGGCGTATGTTGCGTATGCGAAGCGCACGAGATGATCGCCAAATGCGAACAGGCTCCTCCATTTGGATGGATACATGCGCGGATACGCGTGCCTGCTACTGACGGCAGTAGGCTCGCCAGTAAACCAAATGCGTTACAGGTACTGACACTAAAAAACACATATGACGCCAATGAACCTGTTAGGTCATAGGGGCTGAATACCGCAGCAGTATCTAGCGAGGGTTCGCACCCTGCCGCCGGCACATGAGACACGGACCGTTGTTTCATTTGGTTCGGAAATTGAAATATCGCATTAGTTTTGGGGGAAACTCAACACGAGAGACTGCCATTACCAAAGCACGTAGTGCCCTACCCGTACGTGATCAAGCTCTCCTGATAAACCTGCATGTACTTCGGTCCAGAGGCCAGAGGCTCGGCCAAAGGGGGAATGACTCGCTCGCTAACCAAAAGAGGCAGTACGTGCAACAATATCCCTGCCTGGGTCTTTCACCCTCTTGCCGCCTGTGAGCTTTAACAACAGTACTGTAGCTCTCTCCATCTCACCTGTAGATCAGGGCCGGACAGCCGTACGAAAAAGACGCACGGAATTTCTCTAGATGGGCGTTCACTCATGCAAACAAACCAGGGAAGGGAGCATAACGGCGAAGATAGAACAGACGAGAGCGCCGCGGGCGGGCCGCGGCGGCGGGAAAGCGGGAACGGCGTTGGTTCTGGATGAGAACCAAAGGCAAGTGAGTGCACCCCGCCCTAGAAGAGTATTGGTTATTTCCCATCCCGAGGACCCCCGTCGCCGACCTTTGCTACATTTGCTGTCATTGCTGTGCTTTGTGCTCAGTCCCGCCTGGTCCTTCTTCCCTCCTGTGCTGAGCCATGCCGGGGCGACCGCGTGAAAAGGTCTCACCCTTGCTATTGTTCTCTTATGTGGCGCTGGCGCTCGTAGAACGTAGCGCTCTTGGACTCCGAATATCATCATGTGATGTGTCCACAGGTCAGAATGCTGGGAATGTCCTGCAGTTGTACCTCTCCCTTGTCCAGGTTGCCTAACATGCAATGGGTAGGAGTTTTGCGTGTGACGGTCATGCTCCTGTTTGCAACCTCGTGGTGTTCATAACCTGCGCACACAGAAGGGGACGGCATTAACAGCAGAACGTCTACACGCAACGGGTCGAATAGGTTGTATGTTGTAGGTCCTAGCCAAAAGCATGATGTCCGGTGTCCCGGCGAGTGAACCTGCTGCGAGCGAACGATAGCGTACTACCATGGAGAAGCCGCAACGCAACGCTGCCGCTCCACCAACTCGCACGCCAGCCAGGCGCACTACTGCCGTGTGTTGTCGTGCGGCTTGTGGTACGCAGATGAACGAGCACCCGCTGTGCTGTACAGTGGCAGATTTCGTGCTCGTCATCGTTTGTAAGGTGCGCGCCTACCGCGGCATGGAGGTCGATCACATCATGATTACTACTGCAGTAGAGCACAACATGCCGATAGTTTTGAAGCTGCAGGCTGTTGGTTAGCATCAGATATGACCTTTCAGCGACGCTTCCTCCTCAACATCGTCAAGCAGTTGTCGGCATATCATCTGCCGTTCCCCAGCGAAAACAGAGACGATGCCTCGTCATCTCATGCAACCAGTACATAAGGGCAAAGGACAAACTGTTGTTTTTCGTCACCTGAACGTACTATGCGCGTCCAGCGCCCCCCGAAGCCGTACGTACGTCCTACCCCCGCCCCCCCCCTCGCAGCCCGCCCGATCCCGAACGCTCGATCGATCGAAATAGCAAAGAGGTCTCCCTAACAATATCTTTGCTTTCCCAAAATCGCTAGGCCCGAACAGCTCCCCTGTTGTATCGTTGCTTTCCCTAATTTCCTTTTAAAACGTCCAGCCCGAACAGCGGCTCGCCTTGGACCGTGGGGGGCAGCGGCACATCAACACGGCGGCGGCAGAGTTAGCAACAGAAGAAGGGTCAGAGTTATCGGGGGCGGGGTGCTGCGCATGGCCAGGGACTTCTACGAGGCCAGTGCGAAAAATCCACCATGACCGAGCAACAGATGCTCTGTCTGGAGCAGGGGGGGGGTCCTCATGTTTTCCATGCCTTAACGGCTAGACCACTCGTCCTCGAGAGGACGGATCTTTGTTGGTGTTGGTGTTGGGAGGGAGGGGGTACTCCTGTTTTGCGTGCGTAGCTGTTAGACCATTGTCAACGCGTCCTCGAGATAGATGCTCTGGAGAAGGGGTGCGTATGTGCCTCAGGTGCTTAGCGCCGCGTTAGCGCTGGCGGTGATCGGCAAGCTCTGCAGGAACCACCAGATTTGTTTTGAAACGACTTTTTGAGGTCATCGGGGTTAGAGGCTCTACAACCTGAGAGTAGAAACTTCCGAGTGTGCACATCACCCCACCATTACTGTGTTTAAGCGACGTTTTGAGGTTCGGAAAAATGCATCATGGTGTTTCGGGGTGTGTCTTGTTGCTGCTGCTGTCATTGTATGTCTGGATCTCCAATACCTCCATCCAGAACTCGCCTGTTGTTGCCATTGACCTTCAAAGGCAAAGAATATCACTTTACGCGTTCCCGAGGCATACAAACGAGATGTTGAAAGATGGAGACCCCAAGTGCAATCCATGCAGACGCATGCCATGGACTACCCCATACAACGCTGCTGTTCACCCCCAGCCCAACAACACAACTACCACCATCTGAGATCCAGGATTGCATGCATGGACAGGTACTGGAGATCCCGGAGACCGCGGACCAATCAGAGATCAAGAGAGCTTATAGGCGGAAGGCTCTAAAGACTCACCCGGATGTCAACGCGGCACCCACGGCGAAGGAAGAGTGAGTGTTGTGTGTTGTGGCGGAGAGAGATAGTTCCCTTCTCTTGTTTACGTCCGTGGTAAAGCAGACTGCCGCGTTGTTCTCCATTGTTCTCTATCTCTGTCTCTCCGTCTCTGTCTCTCTGTCTGTCTCTCTCTCTCTCTCTCTCTGTCTCTCTCTCTTCTCTCCCTCTCTGTCTGTCCGTGTATGTTATGTCTATCTGTTTATTTCTCTTCCCGTGCGTCTCTCCCTACCTCTTTCGCAACGTCGCGCCTACGGTGCTTCGTAGATTCCGTAGATCTCAGGTATGAACTTGAAGCTACGATTCGAATGGGTAGCGTACAAACGGAAATCGTGTTGCGATCGGCGGCGCCTACACGAGGGCCGAAGACCACACGCGTTGCGTACTTCGGGGGGAGGGAGAAAGGAGGCGGGCGCCGGCATGTGCCACTCTCCAATCCTGCCCCCCCCACCTCTGCTCATCCTTGCGAAACGTAGCCCGGGCCGGCGAAAACCCGGCATATCCCTCCGTCCCGGTATTGTTGGGATTCGAGGTCGCCACCACGGCATGCGTTTACATTAAAATAGTAAACCCCCCCCGCCGCCGCAACTTCGTGTGCCCCCTCAGTTTCGCGGAGGTGGTGAATGCCTACGAGGTGCTGTCGGACGAGAAGAAACGGGCGAGCTACAATACGAAGCGTAAGTTTACCAACCCGTTCAGGCGCGGGGGGGGCGGAGGAGCCGGTGCCGCCGGCAGTGGGGGAGGGGGGGGGGCGGCTTCGTGGGGGAGCTCGACGTACAACGCGGCCAGGGAGGAAGCGGCTCGTCGCTGGAGGGAGCAGAACCCCACCCCGGATGAGATTGGTAAGGCTCGCCGAGACGCGGCGAGCTTTACATGCGCATGTACTTGGGTTTTCGTCGCTTGGCAACGACGTTGTAAACCAAGCCACTTCACTTCGTGAACTCGGCAACCAGGTGGCCGTTTTTTTTCTCACCTCTGTTTTTTTTTTTTGCGGTAACCATAATGGTGGTCAAGTAGATCATGTTGTGCGGGGTCGAGAAGCCTCACGCAAGGGGGGTGATCGCACCACGTTGTGTTAAAATGGTCAAGCACCCTCGAGGCAGTTACACAGTGCTTACAACTGTCTCTGGAAGTGAAAGCACCAGAAAATAAATTAAGCCATAAGCAACTATCATCCGTACGCAAGGAAGTAAGCACAAGATGCCGAACACCGTTAGCAGGATGCAGCGCACCCNAACGACACGGCATGCACGACTATGAGTACACCCCCCCCCCCTCCTTGATATCTGTTGCTCTCTTCAATAGGCGATAGCTTCGGCGACATTTTCCGAGACTTGGTGGGAGGCATCGCGTCGGTGGGAGGGCGGGGCGGGGTGTTGAACGACGTTGTCGATTTCTTGGAGAACCAGGTGAGAGAGAGAGGAAGGACCGGGGAGGGGTTGGATAAGGGCATCCACTGCCATTGTTGTGCACGTCGTGGCCGCCCTTCTCGTCTATCCGCTCTTTTTTTTTTCGCGCAACCACCACCACCATATCAGCACCACCAGCCTTCATGTGACGCTTGCGGATCTATCTGGCGGCAATCCCCTCGCCAACTTTCGTAGGAAACGTCTCGGCTTGGAAGTAAGTTTTGCTGCCGGTGGGGGGGTCCTGTGTACGTGTTGTGTTGCCGCCGTCATCGCTGGGCTCTTCGGACAATCTGACAAAAGAACAATGTAGAACAATGTTCGCCCGTCCTCCAAGTATGGATCGCGCTTGGGCGCTGCTGCCTGCGCCATCCTGTGCCGACCCAGCCTACGCGTTTGTCAGCACGGTCGAGAGTTTTTTATCCCTCCCTTCCTGCCCGCCTCTCACGGAAGAACGGAGGCAACCGGCCCTTGGCGCCCAACAGAGCTACTGTAGCCGCTCAATGTACCACCCCAGAGCTTGCAGCGATCGATGCACGCCTGATGGGTGGAGAACCAACGGGGTGTGTCGTTGCCTCCGTTGCTACGGCTACTGCCGCAGACATTTTGTCAGACAGACGGCAGACGGAGGGCATGAATCGGGTAAACAAATCACATGCATCGCACTACATGTACATGTATCTCACGACCCACATGTATTGCACGATCATAATGCACGCTTTTGGCTACAGCCCCCCCCCCCCCCCCCCCCCCCCCCCCCCCCCCCCCCCCCCCCCCCCCCCCCCCCCCCCCCCCCCCCCCCCCCCCCCCCCCCCCCCCCCCNCGGGTTTTCGTCCGATACGTCGGTGGAATTTGAAGACCTTATGGCGAGCAGAAATCTGCGGGAGATGAAGGAGGAGGTGATTTTTTTTTGTGTAGTTTTTCGCAGATTGTGTGCACGAACTGCTGTCTGCGATTGGCTGCTTCTCTATGGCTACGGCTCTCGCCCTGCCCATATCCAAGACCCTTTCCCTTTCTCAATGCCTGGGGCTTCACCGCAGCGCCAGGTGCCATATGATACGCACGGGGAGTACGTGGTAGTAGTACTGTAGCAAGTGATGAGTACCTAGACTTTGGCAAACGAAACTCGTATGTATTGTAGTCAGCGGTTATATGACGTCCAGACGTTGAGTCTCGACGAGATCGAGCGATGTCCCCTCGACAACATGACGCAGTGGTCGGCGGCGTAGGGAGCGCAGTTGTGGCCGGCGAGCTGTACTCTGCCGGTGGAATCATCATTGTTTTGTGCGCCTCTACCGTTTCGGTGTGTAATTTGGCAGTGGGTGAACACACCATGCCTATCATCACCGGTCGCGGCAGCGATTGATGCTCAAAAAACGAGAGGGAAGGGGGCATGCAAGCAACAGGTACCTTCTTTGTATTTTTGCGTCCCCCCCGCTGATCAACCCCGATCGCTCTCGATCTGCCCCTCGTCTCCTCACGGCCATTATTGTGTCGTGGTGATGGAATCATGGCGCGCAGCTGGAAAACACAAGGTTTCTCCTCGAACAGCTCAAGATGAAGAGCCGGAAGCTCGGTATCGACAAGTGAGTGGCGGCGTTTGTGGCGTGCTGGGTGTTTGGCAGAACGCGTTTTGATTGGATGCTGCAGAGGGTTCTTGCCATGCTTCTCTCGCTCAACCCAAAGCGTGGTCGGCGCCTTTTTCTCCTCCAATCTCTCTCGGCGAAGTCAAGAGCACACAGTAGCAAGTCGCTGCTACATACCCCCAAGGCCTTCATCGTTAATCGATGTGGGCGGCAAAACGCAAGCATGCATGCATAACACACAGAAATTGTCTGCCCATTGAAATGAAGAAGTCTACCCGACACCCGCATCCCTTTTTTTCCTTCAGTGTTTTTGTTCCCAATGTTCGTGTCTTTTCACCGAACCGAAGGCAAATTTCTCCATTCACACCCCACACACACACTCGGTGATGTGATAGCCTGGTTCGGTGAGAACCCGGCGTGCTCCGTCCCGGCTTTGTAGAGATGTGAGGTCAATGGTCTAACGACTACGGCGTGCACGACTATGAGTACACCCCCCCCCGCCACATGCTTGGCCATTTTTTGCTATTCTTCCTTACGCTCAAGGCTTGCGGCGGAGAAAGAGGTGGTCGCGATGAAGGCCGGGGGAGGGTCCAAGCGGTTCACGGACATCGACGAGCTGGACCGCCAGATGAGTGCCGTCGAGAAGGCGGCCGGGATCAAAGCGCGGTACGACGAGCTGCAGGGACACGTGAAGGCAAGCAGAGAGCAGGCAGGGCGAAAAACGCCCAGCGAACACGGCCGGAACGAACCGAAGAAGAAACAACAAGACAAGCTTGGCAGCCTTTGCTAGAATAAAGGCTACTCCGTCAGGCTACTCAGTGAGCAGGCTGCTGAATGAGGCGGAGAGATGGCACCCCCCTTCGCCGATTTTCAGTGCTCGATTGCTCCACAACCGAGCGCTTGTGCCAGCACAAAAATGATTTTTGGAACCAACCAGTCTTCGAGGATTTACGTCGACGTATCGGACTCTTTCCGCAACCACTTGGCTGCGGGGCGATCGAGGTTGGAAAATGGGTCCAGGGGGGGTGCCATCTCTCCGCCTCTTAGCGGTAATCCTTTTGACTACTTCGTCAGGCAGTCTAGTGGATTCGCCTTTTGTCCAACAGCCATCACATCATCAGATGAGAACGTGGGAAAATCGGCGTAAACGGGCAGATTTGCCTGACCAATCCCCCACGAGCTCGAGCACTGCTGTCACCAATCACGCGTGGACCGGAGGTTGCCGGTGTCTCTCGTCCGACGGGTGTTGATCGCGTGTTCCTGTTTTTTTTTGCCTTTTTTTACAGCACGTGGAGATGAGCACACGAAACCGTCGAGAATGATGGAGAACAGAGAGAGTTGCGGAGGGTAGGGATGGATGGGGCATGCTATTAGCACCTCGCTCAAACTCTAACCTCCCCCCACCACCACCCGGCTCTTCTGACCCGAATTGCGTGTGCGTGCTTACGTGCCTGCGCGTGTGCATCCGCCGTGCCCCCCCCCCCCCCCCC